TCAAGAGTGCTAGCTGTTGATGGGACTTTTGGAGTCATACCAAGAACTCCTGGGGATGTTCAACAGTTAGTAACAATTCATGTWGTCTTGGATAATATCGTAAGTGATCTGTTGACTGTTAATATTACATTTGTTTATAATATTTTTAAATACTATTGTATTTTTAGTTAGTTCCTGTGGTATATGCTCTCCTAAATCGCCGAACAGAGAGTGTATACATCAGGCTTTRGCAGTTCATAAAAATTGATTTTCCTCAGGGTATATTTCACTGGGAAAATATAACCATTATAGCCRACTTTGAAACAGCCATGCGCAACGCTGTTYAAAGGGTAATTCCTGAATGTCAGATGGTCGGTTGCTGGTTTCATTATAGTCAGGTACTAATTTGACATCTGCTATAATGTATTCAATCCCGAATAAAAAAATAATGTAATATCCTTATCCTTTAATTTTAACTGCATGTAACATAATATTCAAACACTTAATAATGTGATCTTTAGACTGTCAGACTTTATTTTAACATAAATTATTGTCCATAGAGCATTGYAYGATTCATTCAGACACACAATATGTCCAGATTAACTATGAGCAATCATGATGTTGCTACAATAGTGAGAATGGTAATATTATATCACAAATAGGTTTCACCGACATATAAATTGATATTATAATGATAATTTGCTTTTACATGTTTTTAATAATAGATCATAGCTCTACCACATTTGCCAGCCCAGCAAGTCCCAGAATTTCCTGAAGAATTTTAWATTCTGGGAGGATTTTTGGCAATAACAAACYTTGCTACACGAATGGGCATATTAGACCTTGTGGCTGAATTTTTRAACTATGTTTGTAACTATTGGATAAACATCATCCGTCCAGAAGGATTTACAGCTTATGGATTAAATATACGAACAAATAATTACGTAGCATCCATAGCATGTTAGGGTCAACTATTGGTCGCCACYCGCCTGTATGGACTTTCTACGGTAAAATCTTAATTAAATAACAGATATTAAACATGTAAACATTATAACAATTAAAATGATTCTGTACCAATTATTTGTAGATYGATTGCGTTCTRTTGAAGCCAGAGTGAGAAGGGAAACTTGGCAGATCATTAGCGGTCAAARAGTAAGATAATTTATTTTGCTTGTTACAACTTGATAATACTTTTATGATGTGTAATATGTAAATCTAGGTTYGAAGATCTATTGTTACATCCAGAGATGTCAACAATCGGATTTTGGCTGATGCTTTGAACAGCTTGCGTAGTGGCAGATATGACTTACTGGCCTACCTAAGGCGAGTAGCTTACTCAGCGAGAGGCTATTTGGATYGAGAAATAGGCCCATTACCTAATGGTAATACGATAAATTATATTCATGTTTTCAAACTAAATTACATAATGATTGGTTTACCTACAGAAATCATAAGAGATCTGGATGTTCAAGATTTAAGGCTGAACATTCAACCTCGACTACCAGCTCCGCCAATGCATGTCCGTGGTGTTAGAARACCCAGAGGTCGTGGGCGTCAAATGCTAGAGAGGCCAGGTCCGGCAGGTCTTATTCCACGTGTTGCTGACAATCTCAATGCATTTGGTAATAATTATT